TAATTGCGCATCGGAGAGCCGCGCATCTCCTCGGCTTCGTAAAGCGAGGGACGCAGGCAGCGCAATCCGTCATTTTAATCAAGTTTTTACCAACTGGTGCGACGTTCATGATTCGCTCAATCAAGGCGTCACGGCCTATTTGTCCGCTGACCTCTTCCGACCCCACCTCCCTCTGCTCCTGTTCCTCCGACGGACTGTCCGCTGGAAAATGAGAGTATTCATCAGGCTCTCCCGAGAGAAACAGGCCATTGCTGTGACGGAGGAGTCTCTGCTGCAGCCGGCCCAGTCCTCACGCTGATTAGTTTAGTTTTCACGCCGCAGGGCCACGTCCCAGCTCCTTATTGCAGAAGCAGCTCAGCAGGATGCCCAGAAAAAACACAGCTTCACCAGATCCTTGCGGAAAGAACGAAAACTAGGCAAATGGATGCGAAGAACAGGTGAGTGGGTGGAACGAGTGATTGATTCCGTCCGTCCGTCCAGTTTGTACAGACCTGAAAGGTAAATAAGTTATTTTCTCCACTGATGTCTAATGAACTACGGTGCCTGCAATCAATTCTTCAATTACAAGTCTCGCTAATATGTAAGACTCCGAGCACATCATTTAGTTTGAAGTGTTCATTAAAGGCAAAGGATGAATGGATACGTTTTAACGACAGCGCCTTCAGCCAGTATTATTTATTTCTCTCTAAAAGCACTTTTGAGTCCATAAAATACAAACATAGAAAATGTCTTATATGGGAAATATCATAATGTTCTTTCAGATATCAATATTTTGGTTTCTTTTAAAGATATATGCAACTTTTCAAAAGTTTGGGTTCTGTAATTTTTTTTATTTTTTTTTTTATTCTTTTTAATTATTTGCAGCACGGGCATATTAAAAAGTGACATTTATAATGCTACAAAAGATTTATTTTTCAAATAAACTTTCTCTTCATATTTCTATTGGAAATTCTGCTTTATTATTGCAGGAATAAATTGCATTTTAAAATATATTAAATAGAAAACAGCTATCTTAAATTGTAATAATATTTCACAATATTAGGGTATTTTTAATCAAATAAATGCAGCATTGGTGGGCATAAGAGACTAATTAAAAAATTAATTAATTAAAAAAATCTTACCAACCCCACACTTTTGAATGATATGCATACTTTTCCCTGCCAATATTTACTCGCCCTTATGTCATTACAAACCCATGTGATATAATTTTTTTCCGTTTTCCATCTTCGCATATATTTGCTATTCAACATTATGACTAAGTTATAAAATTAACAAAAATCCTCATACATGCATCATAAAACTTGTCCATACAACTCCACATCAATCTTCTGAAGCCATACAATAGCTTTGCATGAGATAGATTAAATTTTGGTCTGTATTAAAGAGAGAGTTCACCTGAAAAAAAAACTAAACATAAAAAAATTTATTCTGTCGTTTACTCACCCTTGTTACAAACCAAAGCATGTTGGTAACCAAAGAGTTGATGGTAGCCATTGACTTGCATAGTATTTTTCCATATCTCCTTTTGTGCTCAACAGAAGAAAGAAACAGAGTAACTGATGACAGAATTTTCATTTTTGGGTGAACTATCCCTTTAAGAGCAAAAGTCTGTCACACTCATATTCAGATTCAATATTCAGAATTATTGTTGGCTGGAAAACCTCCAAATTTCCCTTTTGTGTCCCACAGAGAAAAATAACACCAAACCGGTTTGGAACAGCATGAGGGCGAATAAAAGATGACAGATTTTTCAGTTTTGGCTGAATTAGTCCTTGTTACACGTCTGCCATGCTGCACTCTGACCGCCCTCCCGCAAACTCATCATCTCACTGCTAAGACTGTAAGACTCTGATTTGGGTTTTAATAAAACTGGGATTGTTATTGGTAGTCACAGAGAAATGTTCCATTATGTTCCATTTCTACTCCTAAGTACAGGAGTTCTCCAGCAGCTGTGATCACATTTTGTGTTGCTGCTCTGGAGTAGCCATATCTGTTTTCAAGATAATAATTGGATGCCACATGCAAAATCATGTGACAATAATATAGGATACTTCTATTTAACCATCTGATGCATTAATTAATAAATGAAGGAAGATATGCTAATACTTTTTTTTTTCTTTCAAACGTGAATAAATTTATAACTTAAGATTTCATTTAATTTTTGATTAATATTTTAATTTATTAAAAAGTATTACGTTTATTTATTAATTTGCCCGTTTATTTATTCATTTATTTTATATATAACAAAAACTATTTTTCAAATTTTGAGTGAGTTGCATATGTCACCATGCATTTAAGGTGTGAAATAATGTAATGAGGGCATATATAATTAAAAGAAAGGGTCAAAGGTTATCACGCATGGTGGTTTGGAAGTAACATCACACCATAAATGTTTAAAAACGATCTGTCCACTTTTGTGGACATCATACATCAGAGGGTTAATTCATCACCGAATAAATCCTACTGTTTTACTTCATATTTTTTTTAAATTAGAATGAGTTATGCATGGTATAGCATGCTGTATTCAGTAAATAGTAAGCCAAGTTTCTGAACTTCCGGACACAGCTGTTACTTTTCAAGATAAAACTGCTTTCAATTGTTTCAGCTTGAGCATATCAGTGCATTTCACTGGATTGTTCAGTCTCAAGACTGTTTGACCACTCGTATCGATTTTACACTAGCAGTTAAGAGCGTAATATAGCGATGCATTTCATAAAACAGGATGCTGACATCCCCCTCCTGCTCATTTCCTGTTTATCAATGATAAGTTCTTGCACCAGACAAAGGTTAGTAATTCAAGTTTATCTTGCCAACTCCCTCTGAACGATTGTAAATGAGTACGATTATTCACTTTGTCATGTGTGTCGACTGCATTTATCATGCTGCCTGATAAGTGACATCATAAGCAAAACACAACAGGCACTTCATATGAGTGCAAATCTGCCCATAATTGCTGGGCTCCTCGGTATTGTGTGGTTTCCATGGCAATTAAGGTTTCAGATTAGGCAATGGATTAGGTTTGGATTATCTGGGGATTACGATGGATGATCGCAGCAGTCAAAACAAGTTAATTACGCTCTTCATCCATTTATTTCAATCAACTTTCAGGAACATAGAAAACTCAATATTGCACTCTAGTGTAGGCATTGAAAATGACATCGAGGCAGAGTGTTTAAACATCAACTTTATCAATCATGCTTGTGGCCGTCTGAAGGTGCGCACAGTATATTAATATTATTTTAAAGTGTCAGTATAATCCTATGAGATGTGTTCTCATTATATCCAATAAGGATCCAGACGGTATGACTCAAAGCACCGCAGTATTATTATCAGGCTGCACAAAAAGATTCTTTTAAATGAGCTCATTCTCTTCAGTTTCATTTACAGCACACTTAAATGCGATGGGAACTGGCTTTGTGCTTTCTGTGATTAAAGATCAGCTGTTATGCATATATATTAGGCCTACAGCTCACAGGAGCCATGAACTTCAGAAATGAAACTTCAGAAAAGAATTGCATTTTCGTCTGAATCTTACAGAATTGTCAGGCTTGTTCTGATGAGTCTTTGTGACTTATACAGTGGGATTTACTGTGTTAGGCTGATTTGTAATTGGGATTTTATTACTTGCTTGTTGCTCTTTTATAATGCATGAGTCTTAATGAAGGTTGTAATTGTTGAATTTAAATATCAGCTTTTACTTTGAAGCTTCTGCTAACATTCCTTAGATTTAGCTTTGATGGTTTGGTTTTGGAAGAATTTGAGAAGAAATGTTTGAGTTTATAATTCTTTTTTTACTTTTTAGCTAAAAAGGATCAAAACAAATATCCCATTTAAAAAAAAAAATGTAATCTACTTTCAGTCTAGGAGTAAAAACTGACATCTTTTTTTGAAATTGGAAAAAAAAAAAAACGTAAACCTATTTTTATATCAGATAGCTGCCAAGGCAACATTCTCATTTTTATTAGTTTAGTAATGTTACTGAAATTCAAATGAAAATGGAACATCTAAAAATAAAAACATTCAAAATATGAATTTAAAAAAATCTCACAGGTGTTCATATCTGTTTTAGGTAATCTATTTCCGGTCTATGAGTTAAAACTGACATCTTTTGTGAAATTTTACCTTCCTATGAACTGGGAATTATCAAGTCTTCAGCGGACTGTCATTTAAATTAATGATTATTGGACAAAATGCCATTAAACATGGTCTATATTGGGTGTATATTTGTCTATAAATATATTCCATTAATATTAATTCTCCATATATTTCTCTTCTCTCTTCTCTTAATAAGCCTACATGAAGGTTCATGGGTCATTTTCAGGAAATGGAGCCCTTTTTTTCTTGGAACAAAAATTCTTTTTTTTTTTTCTTTTTTTTTACTGTAAATTAAAAATTTTCTGAACTTAATCGTTTGTCTTTATATATTTTACTTGTTTAGTGTTTGCAAATAGATTTTTTTATGCTTATTTTTTTATTATTATTATTATTGCATTGCATTTTATTTTATTGTGTTGTATTTCATTTTATTTCAGGGATTCACAAGACAAAAGGATGCCCACAAACAGCATTTACAAGGTTTATCTTACTGTGCTCATCTTTTTTT